ATACGTTGAATGAAAGTTCTATGTATCGTTTAGTCAGAGAGACTTTCAGGCAGACCAGAACATTGAAAGTATTTGATGTTACCAGAGGCAGTAATGAAATGCAGCTTCGTGTGTGGTTGGAGTCAGACCTAAAGTCTGCTTCCCTCTAACTAGTTGTTAAAGACTAGTTTATAGACCCTGACCAGGGCACCAGGTCTGCCTGAGTTGTCACATTTTAAAAAGTAAGATAGTAGGATTGAGAGATACTCAACTTCCATCTCCAAAATTCTGATTATAGTAATGAATTAACTCCATAAACACAATGGAAAAATGAGAAATAAAGCTGAAAGTGTAGACCACAATAAGGGTTGGAGATATACAAAATCGTTTATATAAGTACAGAAAATTCAAAATATTGTCTGTCCAATCTGTTTATTGCAGTGCTGGAGATCAAACACAGGGCCTTGCACATGCCAGGCTGGCATTCTACCACTGAACTACCTCCCCATGCCGAGAAGTACCTTTAAGTGCCCAAAAGGATTACTTTTAGTTGAATAAAGACTCAGTGCTGAATCGGGCGTGGTGGCCCTCGCCTGTAATCCCAGCCCTGGGGAGGCTGAGGTGGGAGGATTACTGTGAGTTCGAGGCCAGCTTGGGCTACAAAGTGAGCTCAAGGGCAGCCTGAACTGCATAGTGAGACCCTGTCTCAAAAAGACACACACACACACACCAAAAAAAGGACTCAATGATAACTTCATTTTTTGTACTATATCAACAAAGGAGTTCTGGAGTGTGAGGTTTTTAGACTAATCACCAGAACTTCAAAAATTCTAACATTTTGCTAGACAACTTCTAAAATATAGCTGTACTATAAATGTACACTAAAAGCATTGAGAATTATTTTGGTGATCAGTATAAATTGTGATACTCCTTTTTGGTGATTTTTTGACAAATTAGTCATGGATTAGGAAAATACTCTAGTCCTCATATAAAACATCTTCAAGGTCTTCAGAATTTTAATTTTCTGAGTAGTTTAATTTTCTGAATGAGTGTGAAACATATATTCAGTGTTAGAAAATCGGAACTTCCTAGGCACTTTGAATTTGTTCGCAAAGGAGGTGGATTACTTACTTAAACAATGCATACAAGTAAGTAGCATTAGAATTCAGTAACGTGCAAGATGAAAGAGCACCACTGTAGCATTTGAATTAGTGCTTAAAAAGAATACAGAAATGAAATTGGCTCCCCATTGGTAAGCCATGTAAAGCTTTGTGTGCATAGACAGAAATGGTGGTTTTAGGTACACAGACAATGACTGACAATTTTCATACTCACATAAGAGGCCTGATGCACACATGAGCACCTCAGACTACTTGTAGAAGAAAAGCCCATTTGTTTTACTGACTTCTTCCTGGGGATCTGGAGGGTGAACACCTTCAAAGATAACTTCTGCTGGGTGACTAGTAATTTACTACAATCATTGTAGAGTTGGGCTGGTCAACAGCGGGATTGATTTCTTCCCTACAGTTGACACGTGGGCTGCCACTCTCAAACTTATCCTCCGCTTTCACAAAAGAAAAATATACTTTGTCGCTACTCCCAACACGTCAAAACTTAAGTTCTTGCTTGCCCTTTCTAACGAATGAATTTTGTAATTCCAGTGGACTTTGGAATATTATTCTTGGAAGAATAGAAACTTAGATTCAGGAAAATTTCATATTTTGCCAGCTACATTGTTGAGATTTTGCTTACCATTTTAAAAGATTGCTTTACGAGGCATGGTAGAGTTTATTCAGTTTGTCTTTCTTGGGAATTTTTTTCTATAGCTTGTAGCAAAATTTAACAGTGCATTGAAATGTATTCAAATTATTTTAGGTAACCTTTTGGTTAATGGAGTATTTGTCTTGGCTAATTTGTGCCTGTTTTTGAAGTCATTTTACTTTTTAAATTATGAATTAAGGTGTTTGATAATAGAGCACATAATGATTTCTGTACCATCAAAACATGTATAATTTTCCTTAGTAAGATACTCTTTGAGGGGGCTTTTGGTGCATATCTGTAATTGGGCTGGGAGTGTAGCTCAGCGGCACAGCACCTGCCTGGCACGTGTGAGGTCGTGAGTTCAATTCCTGGTACCAGAAGTAATTGGTTCATTAACTGCTTATCATGCATTAACTTTTCTTGTTTTTAACCATGTCTGTAAGGTAACAGTCTGGCCCTTCCTACTTTTCAGTTTCCTCTCACTTCTCCACAGTTGGCCCATTTTTAACATCACAGACCTCCTTGTTCCTTTCCTTACTCCCCAGCTGTCAGGCTTCACACACATACTTAATAAATAAATAGCTGCTTGCTTTGCAGTTTCAGTCACTTCCACACTCCGCCCCAACCTCAGGTATGTACATATGTGCTTCCTGGTCTTGGCAAGTGCTCTTGCTTCGCTCTTTCTTTCCTCCAAAATGTCATTGTTACTGCATTCTTTTGCTTTAGTTTTATCCACACTCTCTGCCTGTATCTTTATTTAGCCTATTGGCCTTGATAGACAACAGTGACTGGAAAGTAAGTAAGAACTGGGAGTGAAAAACTAATTGCAGCTATTGTAGACTACTTGTGACAGCCCCATAGAAGTGCACAGTAAAAGGTACAGACTCGCTGTAGAGAGAACAGGACTGTAGCTAGAGAGCGGGAGACGTCTCCTTTCATATGGCAGAAGCTGTGCCAGTTCACAAGCTCTCTGATGTAGAAAAAAGCGAACAGATGGAAGGGATGGGGCATAAGGAATACTTACAATTAAGGGAGAGCAGTATGAAAGGGGTATAGAAATTGGAGGAATATAGATCTAGTGATAATTGTACATTTTCAAATTCTTAACTTTTAGGATGTTTCACTAAAAATTATTCACAAACACTCCATCCCCTATCCCTCCATATTTTCCTTTGTTTCTCTTTATAACCTTTCCCTCTCTCCTTATCCAAGGCCAGAATGACAGTCTAAATACTTAAAGGAAGGGGCATTATGTTTTATTCCAAACCCTGCACCTATATGTGCATATACATAAACATACCACTTCCCAAACTAAGACAGAAAATGACTATAGCCTTCCCTCAGACATGCAGATACACAGGATAAGTGATCTGGTAAGAGAGAGTAAATGAAGGGGAGAAAATGAGCAACATGGGCCATAAGCAAAGTGACCACACATCACTGATACCCAGTTTATCTGTTGTCTTAACTTGGTCAAACATCTTATATCAAAATATCTGGTTCTTTTGCAGGTTTTTAGATACTGCAAATAGTCATATAGTCATAACGACCTTTTAACTTGAAAGTGCCCCTATCCTTAATAGATTGAATGGCTTTCTTGCCAGCTTGTTTGTTCACTTGACCATTTCTATTGGTTAATGGAACAAGGATGATTATCTTTTTAATCTTTCTATCCTGGGACTTAACACAGTTTCATGCTCATTATTAGGGTATGTGAGTGGGTTGATACATGGAGAGATGGATGGATTTTAAAGAAGCTTTTCTATTTTAGGAGATTTAATTAGGATCATAGGTCTAAATTTAGATTTATGAAGAGTAACTACCACATACTGTATTAATACTTTATATATTTCTAGAACCATAAAATCATCAGCTATGGCAATTACCAGAAATTCTTTTGCTTTCCAAGGTGTGAAAGGTTAAAATTTGACTGATTGAAGTAAAATGACATCGAATCTTCCTGTTTCTCAGTGAGAAATGAAACAGCCACAAAATCAGGTTATGAGAAAACAGCATCTCTCAGAACATGATAATTAGCATAACAGTTTCCCAACAGTCTTCCCTTTATTTTTAAGCTTGTCTTCTTGTTTACTGTAAATAAATTTTGACATCAGTTTATTGTGTTTCTTTGTCAGAACCTAGTATCATTGGACTCTAATTTAGTACAAAATTTAGATATTTAGGTGCCAAGTTGAATAAATCCTAAAAATATTTTTAAACTGCCACATTGACTTGTTTTCCTTATTAAGGGTAGAGTTAATGGAGAGTGACTGCTTAATGAGTTTGGGGTTTCCTTTGGGATAATGAAAGTATTTTGGAACTAGATAGAGGTGACAGCTGTACAACTTGTGAATATACTAAATGCCACTTTAAAATGGTTATTTTTATGCTATGTGAATTTTACCTTCATTAATAAGGTAATGCCACATCTCTAAGTTATCAAAAAAAAATACATTGTAGCTTGGAGGATATCTTCCTATAGCTAGTATGATCCTGTGATTATTTCTTCAAATTGTGACACTTACTAGAGTGAAAGTGAGCACTCCTAGGTTAATGCTGGAATTGTAAGCATAAACCAGGGTTATCCCAAGCAGTAGGAGAACAATCATATTTCTTAAAACTAACACTAAATTCTTACATATTCAAGCTGACCACCACTACTTCATATCTACATTATTAGATTTGATATCATCTTAAAATAATTTCCTAAGCCCTCCATACAGAACACATAATTGGATTAAAAAAATTCTTGTTTTTAATTTTTAAAAAAGTGAGATTTTAACAGATATTTCTTAAATCCTGCTTTTGGTGGTATCCGAATAAGTCTTAAGCAGTTGGGTGGTTTGGCCCTTGCATCCATTTGTGCATGCGTACACATACAGGTACATACCAACCATGTTCACATTCTCACCTGTACTGTCTTCACTCTCAATTTCAGTAGGTAAGTGTTGCCAGAGTAGGATGACATATTTATATCAGTAAAAGATAAAAACCTGTCTTACTAATACATTTACTCTCAACTTTTTGGCTACTACTTTTCCTAAGGTACATTTAGTTCTCAGACATACCGTAATTTCAGTAGACAGTACATTCTTTCTGTGAGCTTGCAGTATATGTTGATTACTAGCTCATTACCTAGTTTGATATATAGGTTTATCATTTTTTTCTTGTTTTTTTCCCTCATGTTTATGGTTACCAATAAAGTAGTTTCAAAGACAGTTAAAAGTGGGCTCTAATCTCCCATGTTTTACCTTTTCTAGAACTGTCAAGTAATCCACCTCTGGCTACCATCCTTATTCCTCCTCATGCTCGGATTCAAGCAGCTGCATCAACCCCTACAAATGCCACAGCAGCCTCAGGTGAGGACAGATATGTCACTTCTTTAAAAATGCACTTAAAAAAAAAAAAATACACATGATGGTGCCAGGATATAGCTCAGCGGCACAGTGCCTGTCTGGTAAACACAAGGTCCTGAGTTTGATTCCAGTACCAACAAAACAAAACAAAACAAAAAAAACACATGATTACCTCCATTTCATTTCATGTGATTGAGTATAATAAACATTTAATTCCTTTTAAGTATCAAAAATTTAGCACAACCAAATGAGTTAAAGCAAATAAAATAATGCTTTAGTTATAAAATGCACAAAAGAAGCACCTCATATATAATATATATGATGTAAATATCTTAATTTCTTGATTAGTATCAAATAAGGTGCTCATAGCAGAAAATAGTCTGTACAAGTGCAATATTATCTAACAGTTCACATATTATCCTCAGTATAAATGACAGTATACTGGAGAGGCACATTCTTAAGAAGTATAGATTGCTGTAAACTTTTCATCATTTGAAAGGGTTAAAAGTGCAGTGAAAGTACATTTAACTAAGTTTTAGATCAGAAAAGTGACTATTGTCTCCAAAAGAAAGAAAGACTCCCATATGGACTCACAGCAGAGCCGGAGTGTGCTGCTGGGTCCTTGGGCAGCCAAATGCGTCCCGGTTTAGTAAAAATCACTGTCATTGCAGATTCTGAAAATACCTAACCCTTGGATAAATGGCTTGATGCTGCTGAAGTGAAATTAGAAACACAATAGGTAGCACAATTACAGGCTTAGGATTTGGTAACCTCCCACCCCCCAAAAAAGCTGGCAGCAGAAGCTGACTTTATTTTCATTAAATCATCAATCACCTTGAACAGACCCGGTTTTTTTTGGTTTTTTTTTGTTTTTTTTTTTGGTTTTTCTCCAGTACCAGGAACCGAACTCACGACCTTGCGCTTGCCAGGCAGGCGCTTTGCTGCTGAGCTAAATCCCCAGCCCCGAACAGACCCGTTTTTACGTAAGGAAATGTGTGCTGTGGGAGAGAAAAATCTTTCATTACTAGTTCTTAACATTTGACAATAAAAGTCAAAATCCATCTCCTGTTATCCGAAGCAGAGTTGTCTAGGTTTGTCCAGTCTTAATCTTTTAAAATGTTGTTAATAAAGGTCAAGAACATTGCATTCTAAGTCCATGTCCTACCTTCCAGTAAAAATCTGAAAACCAAGTCTCTTTTTTCCAGTCCCCACTCCACCAGGATATGTTACATGTAGAGTATTATCTGAACTTCGTTAGTTTTATTAGCGTCTTGTTTTCTCCTTCTGTAAAGTGGTGTAATAATACCATCCTAACGTAATGCTGTAAAAATGAAATGTGATTTAAATTTTTTAAATGTAAAAATGTAGTTTCAAACACTGACCTTTTTGCTTAGAACAAAGACAGAATTGCTTAGATGAGCTACTAATAAACTTTTAATACATTAATAGCTAGGTTAGATTACATTGATTGTTCACAATATATACTGTAGGCCCCAATCATGAACTAAAACATTTACTTATTAATCTAGTTTCCATGAGTTTTATTACAGTTGGTTTAGACTATATTAAAAAATGAGGATTATAATTATTAAGCTTAGAGTAATTTAAAAGAAATTTCTCAGCTGGGCATGATGGCATATGCCTGTGATTCCCACTATTCAGGAGGATGAGGCAGGAAGATCAAAAGACAGAGGTCTGCCTGAGCAACTTAGGGAGACCTTGTCTCAAAATTTTAAAAATAAATAAGTAAATAGAAAGGGGCTACGATACAGCTCAGTGGTACAGTATCCCTGGATTCAGTCTTTAGTACACCTATCAGTAAAAACCTAAGAACTGCTTTTTCATAGTGTGAGGTATTTACTGAACTAGTTAATGATTGTAACGTGGTTCTAGGTTCATTGTATCCCTGAAGGGAGCTTTATATAACCTGACTTTTTTTCATGGTGGTTTGATACAAGTTATAGTAGTTACCAAAAAATATCAGTTGCTGCATGTATATTCTTATATTCTTATATGTATATGTGTATATATATATTCTTATATTCTTGCTGTAAAAAGCAAGTATTGATATAAAAATGAAAAATGAAATTGGCCTTTTTTGACCCGAAGAGTTTCTTCCAAGGGTGAAGTAAAATAGGGTATGAGGAAGGTAACAGAGGATTAATGAGCTGAGGTCAGGCCTAAAGTTGGAGACTTGACTACTGTACCAAAGAGTATATCAGAGTACTCTGAGCTTCACAGTGGCTACAGTAAAGAACAAACTATCTAAAGTAAATAAATATTATCTGTGGATGTTTGCCATTGTTCATTAACTAAAAAGTGCAGTAGTGGCTAAGGAGAACCAGTGTCGCTGGCCCTGCTCTTCTCCCCTCAGGCCTCAGACTCAGTACTGAAAGAGACAGTGTAGGCCGGGTCTGGTGGCACACACCTGTAATCCCAGTACTCAGGAGGCTGAGGCAGGAGGGTCACTGTAAGTTTGAGGCCAGCCTGTCGCAAAAAAAAAATAGAGAGAGAGAGACAGAAAGAGTATAAGTTCTCATGACTATCCCAACAAGAAATGTGACAGTGAGATTCATATAGATACTTTTTAAAATATGTCCTTTATTGTAAGCCAAATGGAACACCACAAGGAACAGTTTTCTGGGGAGCCGAAGTAGTGAAAGCCAAGTGTGTCACCAGTGCCCTGACCAGTGTGTCATAAGTGAGTGCCTCTGCATTTATATTTTAAGTAGGATTCAGCAATATGTGCTACATTCTTTAGTAAAACCTTAAACTGTAAATGCCCTTTGACTGAGCTTCAGTTCCATATCCAAAAAACAAGAATAGTAATTACCTCCTACTACACAGAGTGAAAAGTAAGAAATAAAAGGATTGTTTTGTACTTTGCCTGGCCACTGGCAGTGAAAGTAAACTGCTATTACTCTCCTGTGTTTACTATTGGTATTTCCGAGTAGGGACAGATCCAGACATTTTTTAAAAAAAAAAATTAATGTGAAAGACAAGATTGACATCAGTCCTCTTACCATATCTGCGACTATTCTGTCTTCATTAAGTGAATACCCCATCTCCATACAGGTATGGTCAGGGAATACCTGCGGGCATGAGAGAAGGTTTTCCTCATAAAGCATTTCTGAATCTGCTTCAGAGTACAAGGAAATAAATTTTAAGTTCCAAAGCCCCTGAGTCTAAAAATACTTCACATTTAAAATTTTGAAAGCAAGACTTTGTAATCATCCTCCCTGACTCCACCACCACAGTAATATATCCCAAATGCCCTAATTTGAACTACAAGATGCTCTTCTGAGTTACTAAATTAGTTGGCTTATTTGATTTAAGTCAATGTAATGGAGAACATGCATCAGAATAATTAGTATTTTAGAAGCGTAGCTGCTTATAGTTAACAAAGCCATATCAACAAGTAACAATAATACCTATTCTTAATAACCTAGAATGTGCCTTCTGATCATGTAAGCATAGATTTAGATCACTGAAATACAAATTCAGAAGAGCCTTAAATGATCTGCTGAATACCATTCCTACTAATGTTCAGCACCATTGCAGTTCAGGTTTTATCAGATGTGTTTAGGTCGCAAGCAAGGTCATCAGAATACAGAGGCTCCTCGATGACTGCCTCAGACTTCATGTGTGTAACTGGCTTAAATAAGAATGGAGTTTTCCCACTTTCATGTTGACCTGACAGCAAGCTTGGTTCTAAAGTTTGATAAAAGCAGAACAGAGCAAATGGACAAGGATGCCATCAACCATGTTTATACTGACTATTATGAAATAAGCTTAGGGTTTTTCTCAAGTGTCACAGCCAAAACTATTAAATGCTTCTAGGTGTTTAGGTTTTACTAAATTTTAAATACATTTATAGGCAGAAATCTTAATTCTCTGTATGGCTTCTGGAAAAGCAAAACTAGAGCTTTTCTTATCAAGATTATTAATGTGAAGTCCTATTATGTTTATTTTGGTAATATATAATTAATTGTTTTTCTCTAGCCTCTCCCAAAAAAACTAGTACAAGGAACGATAATAGTTTCACACCCTAAGTTTGATGATACTAACACTAAGGAAACTAGTTTTGCAACTATTTCAACTACTCTTTCCTTGTGTTTTTTTCAAGGTTCACATAGTGATTTCAGGTACATTTGTGAAAATACATTTATAATTATATACTATAAATAACACAGTTTATACATTTAATTTATCAATTTCACCTTAGGCCCTTGACTTCATGAGAGACCTAGTCCAAGAAAAACTACAATGTACAGGAAACAGGATAAGCAATCTTCTGAATGGTCAGAATTAGGAAATAGTTTTTTGGGGGGGAGTTGTAGGTTGTTTTGTTTTGTTTCTTTTTTTATCTTTTTGAGACAGGGTCTTGCTACGCAGCAGTTCAGGCTGGCCTTGAGCTCACTTTGTAGCCCAGGTTCGTCTCAAACTTGAAACAGTCCTCCTACCTCAGCCTCCCAAGTGCTGGGATTACAGGCGTGTGCCACCACACCTGGCATTTTTCTTACTTCTTTTTTTTTTTTTTAATAGTTTTAATACATTGTAGAATCTCATTTTTATGTGGGCATAAAAAAAATTATGGAGCTTTATATACATTTGTGGAAACTTTTGTTCTGATTTATGTTAGGGAAATTTTAAAATCTAAACAAACCATGCAAAAATGTATATTTGCTTTGGATAGGGTCTACATACAAAAATTAAAAGAGTTTTGTTTAACTGGTGAGTATGGATATTGATTGCAGTTTTTGCCCCAAAACTTTCACGCTCTTTTTAAGCTGTTTTTAGAATACTTTGGTCTTTGGGGGTATTATGATTGATCGTGGTGTTGGATGATACAAAATCCTCTGATAATTACACATAGTCCTCACAATCCATAAGGTATTGTTTCTTCTGTAATTACGTAGATAAATTACTTTCTCCACACCCCCAGCAGATAATATCATTCACTCCTTTTGGGAGTCCATTCATCTGGACCATCTAGAGTAATA